ATATTTTTTTTATATCTACTGCACTAAATAGAACACGTATATACTAATACGACATACATTTCTGAAAAGGCTTTGATTTCGTTTATAAAAAAAATAAATTCTGAAATAAAATCAGCGTCTCTGCGTATTAGTACCGGAAAAATTTAATTGGAGCAGAGGTTGAGGTAGTAACGACCCTTAGGGTCTAGAACTCTACTCAATGCTCAAGTCAGGATTTGAGTACGGTTTAAAGCACTCGAAATCATACTCAAATTTCTGCCATTAGGGTCGTATTTCCAGTGCTTGTGTATCCAGTGCAATCCTGACTTGAGCATGATTTAAAGCACTGAAAATCATACTCAAGTCCTTGCCATTAGGGTCGTATTTCCAGTGCTTGAAATCATACTCAAGTCTGCTTAAGTCCTGACTTGAGCATTAAGATTGACGGGTTCTTGGCCCTGTCTGTGCCTTCTAAAATAAATAAATACGAACTGGTAATTTTTAACGATTCAAGGGCTATCTTCTAAACAAGCGTTCCTTAAGCGTTCATTTTTAACCGCCTCCGTGGCCGAACGGTTACCACGACTGGCACGCAGAGGTCCAAGAGTCCATTTCCGGTCGGGGTGAAATATTTTTATGGCCTACATTTATTTCTCTCGTGAGTTTGGGTGTAATTTGTGGTTGTCTATATGTGTGTCCTTGGCACCCGCGACACAGGGTTTCCCTAGTGCGGGACTTTGTTGAGTGTGTGCGTTATTATTATTATTATCCTCATCCACACCTTGACTTACCATCAAGTGAAATTGTGAATAAACATGAACATATCTTATCGAGTTCTTAGGTTTTCGCGATTGTTACACATAGGAAATGAAACTATTTTTCCGGATTTAAATCAACCGTGACCATGGGACCTGTAAAGGGCCCGAAACGTCGGTTTGTTTGAAAAAACAAATATACGCGATTTAAATCCGGAAAAATAGTTTCATTTCCTATATGAACATATCTTACACAAAAATAATCTTCTTGTTGGATTCCTCAGTTTTATTACAATGTACAGGCAAGCATATTCGGCCTTCATCTCATATAACCTAACAATTGACGTAAATATTTGACCAATTAGGAACAAGTTGTTGTCTCGCGTTTAAGCATTCCAATAAGACTCAATGCCTTGGATTATGTGACGTCTTTCTTTGGGTAATTTTGAAATTCGTACCTTGATTATTTTCTAAACTAGAGAGGTTATTGACCATAGCCCTATGCTGACCCAATGCAGACTTTACGCGTATTGCACGCATTCTGAACCTTCGTCTACATAGAAGAAACCTTTCTTCAACATATCGCACTGCTACTACAATAGTGTTATAACTCAAAACATGTGAAATTCAAAATTATACTATTATTGAAAGTAAAATTTGATTCTCTACACGTCAATAAGACAGTCTTTAGAATATTGTTAGAAACTACTAAAAGATATCTACTTAACTCAAAGTACGACACACTTTATGTGAGCTAGTTCTGGCCAAAATAGTCCTTATTCAAAAATATAAAATTATTTTTTCTCTTTTTTGTTTTAAATATATTTGTCAATTAGGATATTGTTTGTAATAAATAAACTCTAACCTATTCATACATTTTAATTATCTTTCACAGGAAACGAGTAATTAGAGTTTCGTCGATTCTGAGAAAATACACTTTTTGAAATTTTTATTGAATTGATATTAAATTTTTTTTTGTGAAATTATTCCAGAAGCTATACCAACTAAGCACGGAACGAACCCGCGGACTTCACGAATTTTTTTACATAGAAAAATTCATTTTTTTACATAGAAAAATTCGTGAAGTTCGCTGGTTCGTCCCGTTTCTTTATAGCTTCTGGCACGGTAAGCTAGAAGACGTCGGTTCGAATCCGACCGGATCGAAGGATTTTTTCTGAGTGTTCGATCTTTGTATTAATAATTACAATTTTTAGGTTAATACACTATTGTATTAGCAGTGCGATATTAACCTTCACCAATAGCGAACGGGATTGCTTTGCTACCGAACATTAATAAAAACTGTAGGAGTAGAGTACAAAAAGTAGAGCTCCTTGTGAAAGAGGTCGTCTAGTGAAGTACTGCCATATTTTTCACGCCAAACCGCCAAACAGTAATGTACGCATTACTGCGTTGCATTCCGGTTTTGAACTAAAATTAAACTTAAGTTTCGATACCTCTAATGAACACTATGCCAACTATGTTTTTTGGCAATTTTCTGTTAGAAATGTAATGTAAAGTGTATATTGTATTCTATACTTGTTCTATTTAGTTGTTGATATAAAAATAAATTTGGTATATATAAAGTACCCATTGAGTGCAGCGGCTTTCTTGTAAAATTTGGAGGTAAGTTTGTGTTTTTTTCTATCGTGAAAATCCCTCAACCAAAGCCATTTAAGTTTTCGAATCTTAAATGCATAGCAAAGATTGCGCGCTGCACAGACAAAAACAAAGCTCTGAAACAGAGAAAGAGGAAGCAGAACTAACATTATTACATCACACCAGTCTATTCTCCACTATCGGTTAGTAATAAGAAATATATCAGGATAGATTATTTTGGACCAAGAATGATATGCTATTGTAGTAAAACAATGGGAAACTATTTAGTACCTTTTATCTACTAAACTAACATTAAAAAAAAAAAGAAATTATTATCATAAATCTCGGATAAGTAAGCAACGTAAGCATAGAGTGTTATTAAACATGAGAGTGAGTTCCCGCTAACAAACTGCCCTGCAGTTTTGCGGGCTTTGAATTTGTAGCCAAGCGTTTTTTTGAAAAGGAATAAACATTTTTTTTATTATTCGCAAAGAAGAAAATTTCAAATAAAAAACTACAAGAAGAAGTCTTTTTCTAGACAAAGGCCTGTATAAATATTCGTCACGTTTTTCAAACGTGGTGGCGTTTGGTTTGCAACACAGAAGAGAAGACAGACTTATTTTTCTATGAAGGAGAAAATGGCCGGACTCCGTAACGAGCTTTGCGGGGTTCCAGCAACCTTGGCTTGCAACGACCTTGAAAAGCATGTAATATTTTCTAATACA